TATCTTCCCTACAAAGTGCATAAAACTAAGTGAGGCTTTATAGGGAAAAAGGGTTTGGATATTTACTCTGCAGTGCTTTTTAAATAGACAGAATGTCTCTTGAGCCATATACTTTATCTTTCCTGTGGCTTTCTTAAGCCTGACTACATATAACAGCAGCGTGATTAGCAGGGGACAGGAATGTTACCTACATCCCAAAGCAGTTAGTGGTAATACGTTGGGTACTGGTTGTAACTATTCCTGTAAAGCACAATTAAAGGGCTTTACCAAGGTACAAATTCACAATCTGAGTCTTATTATCATCTCTCTAACCTCTGAGCAAATCAAGCCCAAGTCTATTATCAATCTAAACGATGCTTAAATATAAAATCTGCTATAAAGAAATAGGAAAACACAATAAATGGTTTGCTTCAATGATCTGTCCTCATGGAGATATTTTCTCTGAAGCAAAAAAGCACTTCAATTACACATACAGCAGAATGCAGTTTCCCAAAAAAGGAAACACAAACAATATCAGAGAAAGCAGCACAACACTGCTGTCCAAAACTTGTCTGTCACTTAGCTGTGAAACCTTGAATAAGCCTGGCACCTCTTCTGCAGCAAATTCACCAATTTTAGTTTATTAAAGGATGATATGTAAAACTGTGGTGTCATTTTGCATTCATCACTTAAATTAAGGCAATCCACGTAAGTAAGCTTTGTAACTGAGTTAGCTAAATGCAGTACCCCAAAAGAATCTCATAAACAAGTGTGAAAACATTTCGTAGTTTAAATACAAATGAAAAATACGTGCTATCTTAAATTAATAGACAATTTGACATTCTAGATTTTAAAATACTTTTCCTTTTTAAACATATTAATATAAAAAAATTTAATGATGTTGAACATTGTTAGATTATAATTATTCAATTAGGTCCCCTTGTTCCATGAGCAGAAATGATATGACACATGGTTTGAAGAAGTTAGTTTATGTCCATATAACCGGACACAGTGCACACCTTCCAAACACTGCTGAACTACAAGAACTGACACACACTACTTCCTATCCAGCAGATCTTCCTGAACATACCTCATTTCAGACCCATAAGGTGAGATGCAGCCAGTAATCTGCACTCTACCCTTGTCCCTCCCATTCTAATCTACAGACTTTATTACTTTCTGTCAGTTTGTTAGGTCACCTCTCTTCTGCTGTCAGTTGTTTATTGCTGTTACCAATCTCTTTTGCCACTGTCCATCTAGCCACATCCAATTATTATACTGCTATCTGTCACATTTTTTCTCTGTTCCTTCATCATTTCTGACTTACCTGTTTGTGGCTCTTCTCAACTACCAAACTAAAGAAGTCAACTTCACAGGCACAGTTAGCCAATCAATACACTTCTTTCCTTCCAAAGAGGAAAAAAACTCAAAAACAAAGCTATCAGGATGATCTTTGACTTTTCTGAACTGTTGTATATCATTATCTGACACGAAAAAATCTGCTCATTGTTAGAAAAGACGCTAAAGTTTGGAGTTATTATAGGTAAGTACCTGGTCTACAGACAAATCATGAGTTTACAATTATAGTAAATTAGGGTTAAAGAAGCAACAAAATATATGGTTGAAGGTAACCTGCTCTTTAATGTTGTATCAATGGCCCAAAGGCACGTGAAAATATGCTTAACATCCCGATTTCTTAGGAGACTGCAGATCAAAACTAAAGACATTCCTTTACATCTCTAAAAATGGAGATTATAAAAAAAATCAGACAATATGTTTGGTGAGGATATGGAAAAACAAGAATCCCTGTGTACTGCTAGTGGGAATGTAAAATAGGATGGACATTGTGGAAAAGAGTAGACAGTTTCTCAAAAAAAACCAAACATAGTTCTGTGTGCCAGCTTTCCAGTTACTTAACATATACTGAAATGATTAACTTAGAATGAGAAAAATTTTATTTAGACTCACATTTGAGAAGGTTTCAGCCCATGGTTAGTTGGCCCCATAAGTTTTGGGGCTGTAGTAAGGCAGAATATCACAGCAAAAGTAGCTGATACAGAAAATATACCCCATGACCCAAGAGCAAAAGAAAGAGGAGGAAGAGGCTGGGCTCCACTATTCTTGAAGGCACACCCACAATGACCTAAACCCTTCACTAGGCTCCACATCCTAAGGGTTTTATCATGTCCCAGTAGTGTGTCTCCCTAGGAACTACACCTTTAAAACATGTACTTCTGGGTAACATGTCAGACCCAACTAAAACAATTTATACTATAATGTAGCAATTTCTTCTGGTTTGATAACCAAAAGACCTGAAAGCAGGGACTAGATGTTTGCATTAGGAGCATTATTTACAACTGCTAAAATGTAGTCTGAAACCAATGTCCATATATTATCGCTTGTGTCTAGATGTCCCCTCAAAGGCTCATGTATTCATAGGTGGGGCTTTTCAGAGGGTGGCTGGATCTAGGGTGTTTGAATGTGGATTAAGGGTGTGTGTCTATACATTGAAGGTATGATAATGAAATTAATGCACTGATTGGTTGAGCATAGTTCTGGCTGTGCATAAGGAGAAGGCCTACCATTGGTGTGTCTTGTAGCCTTCATGGGATAAATGGGAAGGCAGCCTTGCTACTTGCTGCTTTCTGCCTACTACAGCATGAACTGTTTCTCCTCTGCAATTCCCCTTTGACAGACTTCCCTGCCTTAGAGCCAGCTAAACATAGACTGAAACTTCCACAAACTGAGATGAAAATAAACCTTTCCTCCTTTAACTTGTGGACATAAGATACTATGTCTCATAAACAAGAAAAGTAAAATAAAACAACACAGACGAATGATATACTCAAATGGCTGCAGTTACATGAGGAGTGTACAGTAATTCAATGCACAAGCACAGCCCGGCATGGTGAGGCATATATCTAATCTAGCATTCAAAGAGGTTGAGGCAAGAGGATTATAACCTAGAGCCCAGCCTGCGTAACTCAGTACCTCAGTGAGACCTTGTTTCAAAATTTAAAAAGGGCTGGGAATGTAGCTTGATGCAAAGACCCTGAGTTCAACCCCCAGAATGAAAGTTTAAAAAAAAGTCATACACACAAAAAGAAGACCAAGAGTTGCAGAGGCAACGTGGGTAGTCAAGAATAAGCTGTTAGTTTTAATAGATTCTGAGCTTCAGTTGGGGAAAATGAAAAATTTCTGGAGATTTATACTAACGATGTGCATACACACTTAAAATTATTAAAATTACAGTAACTTTCACAGTATGTATGCTTTATTCTAATAAAGAAAAAAGCTGAATGAAAAGTAAAGTTGACATAGGGCAAGTATTTTCTGCCTAGCAAACACTATGCAAAACCAAGCTGACAAAAACAAAGGATAAATTATATCCAGCTTAGGGAATAGTGTCTAATTTTGTTAGAGCTCAACAAAAAGTTGGACACATCTCCATATGCCTATATTGAATTCCCTCATAATGGTTTGTTGGAGAAAGCTTAGAAAAATACACTGTCAATATGCCCCCTCACACACATTCACAAGATTTTTAAAAATCTGATGCTTATATCCTTGCTGTTCTAGCTTATGCCAAACATGCTTCTGCCTTGAGCTTTTTTGTGCCAGCCTAAATGACCTGTCCCCACACACCTGCGGAGCTCATGTCCTCACTTCATTAAGATCTCTACTCAAATGTCCCTTAACCAGCTGAGCTTGAACACTCAACGTTAAATCCTCCATCACTCCTCTCTCTTCCATTTAATTGCTTTTACTTCTCACCATCAACTATACAATAATTAACTGCTACTCTCCACCCACTAAAATGTATGTTCCAGGAGCAAAAGAGCTTTCTATTTTATTTACTGTCATCCCAGCAGCACCAGGGACATTACGTGGCACGCTAAAAGTGGCCAGTAACTCTTTGTAGATGAATGCTCACACTCCATAGATTATATTTCCCTGAGTACCATTCCACCATTTCCAGCTGTTCAAACAGCCACAGCCTCAAAGACATCCAGAGTAACTTTAGTCCTTCAGTGTGGGCTTTACTGGTGAGGGGAAGGAACACCTAATTTAAAAGATAAAAAGAAACCTGGTACTAGCACTGAGATCTTAACCACATGAAAAAGTACTCTGATTCAGCTTCTAACTATGCTAAATGAGTACAATATATCTGTCCCTAAGAAAGATAAAGAATAACAATATACCTCTGACATTGTTCTTTTTTTGTGACACTATTTAAAGCAATAACAAGCCTTATGCTATAAGACAAACACTGCATTCCACTTATTTTGATAAGCAATACAAGGCATTTGCAAATGAAAACCACAGAATTTTCCTCTATCACTTTTTAAGGACTTGAGGGAAATTAACAAATGCAACAACAGCGCTTGTCTTCTTTCTTTCTTTCCAGCTCATCCTTAATTACATCAAAAGACAAGTCAGTCGCTCTCCGCAACAGATATACACCCTGGAAAACTAGATGAGTGTGTTAAATACCTGGATGACAGAAATGCCTACTTCAAAAATACACTTAACTTTATTTTAAAGTTAGAAGTATTCAACTAAGCAGTCACACTGTATCTCAATGAAACGTAGCACCAACAGTCATTCATGTTAAAAGTTCCGAAAGCATTTTATAGCTGCAGGTCCATCTGCAGTTGATAACACTTTGGTAGGAAAGCGCGCGCGCGCGGGTGCACTTCAACCAAACCTGCAACCCCTGCCTGAGGGCCCATTACGCTGTGTCTAGAAGCTCCCAGAAACTCTGAAACTCAAATACGAAGCAAGTGTCCAGGGAACACACGTGTGTCCCTCTGCTTTCAGAGTGGAAAAGGATAGTGGAAACTGCCCATCAGCAGCGTCTGAGACGCAGCTCAGCGTTGTCCCTAGGAAAGGAATAGTTTCTGACAGCCTCGGACCTCAGGGCCAGCTCTCCCCGCCTCCGACCGACCCAGGCCAGCCCCCTACTCAGATCGAACCCGGGCCTGGCCTGGACCTCAGATCCTCGCAGACGCAGCTCCTACCTGAGCTCTGCCCCCAGCTACAGGGCTGTGGGGAGAGGCGGGAGGAGGCGTGGCCTTCCAGCTCGCTAGTGGAACTCCCTAGTGCGGTTGTCAGGACTTTCCCTCTCGGGATCCGCGCCCCGGCCAAATTCGAGTTGCACTTCCGGGGTCTGCGGGAGACTGACACGTCATTACGCACGCGACGGCGGCGGCTGCGACAACCCGGAAATGGGCGGGGCGTAGCCTCTGAGTTGGTTCCTGTGGAACCAGATGGGGCGCTTGAGAGAGGCCCGGGGGCGTCAACGGTCTCCCACTTGCTTAGGGAACTGGTTATGCTGTCACTTTCTTCTAAAGACTGCATGGATCACCTTAGAGGATTGGTCCCCGTGAAGCCTCATTTTTCCAAGCAGAATTTATAAAGTGTGAATTTTCCACAAGTGGTTTAGCGGATTTCACCTGTCAACTACAAAGATCTCCTTTTGGAAAATTAAAACTGTAATTTAAATAGGATGTCTATACTAACTGTAATTTAACTGTAATTTAAAAATGTAGTTTAAACTCAAAACTGTAATTTAAGTAGGACATCTATACTAACTGTTGTGTATTTCCTAGTTATCTTGTGTCTCAAATGCCATTCTTAGGGGTGTGTTGATCAGGTTGGAGGCATACCTGTCCAGTGGGTAGATTCAGGATGAGTGATGGAGGCGACAAAGTTTTAGTTTTCAGTTGATACTTGATAGTATTTGTTTATTCCACAACTGTTAGTTAACAAATGAGACTGAAACACGTGATGATACAAAGCTGAATCAGACCCCGGACTGTCAAAGGGACGGAAGGCCTGGCACTAAGCCAACATTTATAGTATTTTTCAGGAAATGACCCAGACCACTGTAAAGTATACTGTCCTTCACTCCTATACTGCTCATGTAATCTCAGCTTTTTTCCTCAGTATCTGATTGTTATTATGCAATTGTGTTCTGCTTTCTAAAAGGAAAACCTCAAAGTGGGCAATGACTTTTTAACATATTCTCAGCCATACAATAATGCCTCTCAAAAACAGCTGGATACCTGCTGAATGAATGAATGATCACACATTGTATACTTCATTAAAGATATTTAGAAGCCTATATAGGTCAAGAGGCTTGGAAGTTGAAAAAGGAATGGGTGTTAGTGGCACAAGGGGAGCAGTATTAAAGTACGTTTTGGGGACTAAAAAAAAAATCCCAATGGAATTAGCCAGAAATAAATTCCTGCATGAGTCTGGTCATTGCCAAGAAAATTAAGGCTTTGTTCTGGCTGGCCCTTGACTGTAGGGTAGGAATTTTAACTGAAGAGGAAGACCACAATCTGGTTTAGAAAAGCTTTATGTTCCATACAGAATAATCTGAATTTGTTCTATAGACAATCAAGAAACCTAGAGATATTTTTAAAGGAGGAGTGAAAAGAAATATATTTTTATTTTTGTAATCTCTGGAAACAGTGGATCAATTTCTTTAAAACCTAAGACAACCCAATTCATAATCTCTGTCTAACCATGAAAAAAACTCAGGAAAAATACTTAACCAGTGCTTCTCTGCTCAGTATTACAAAAAATAAAAAGAAAGGATAAAAACAAAATCCAAGAAACCAAAAGGAGCATGATGAGACTAACCCCAGTGTGTCACTCTAAAAAGAGAAAACATTAATGGGAGAACTAATGACAACTGGATAAAAACATGAAGTTTAATTACTAGTAATACACTAGTGTTGATATAAAACTTGAAAATAGGGCATATACAGAAATACAGAAATATACAGAAGCCCACTGAAAGACTTTAGAAAACTACACTTTGCTCAGTAGTAAACTGCTTCCTATTGGACACAAACATTTTTTATTGTTTCAGCCATAATTTCAAGTAAAACAACAGGAGGATGAGCCTTCAAAATATCTCAGTCTATGTGGGGCATGGTGGTACATGCCTGTAATCCCAGCACTGGAAGGCTGAAAACAGAAAAACTGCAAGTTTGAGGCTAGCCTGAGCAACATCATGAGTTCAAGGCCAGTTTGAACTATGTAGCAAGCCCTTGTCTCAGAAACCACACAAAATATTTCAGTCCCTGAGTCCTTCCACTGGAATTTCAAATTTGATAAAGCAGAGACAAGCCAGTCCCACTGTTATCTGTTCTGAATTCCTCATCCACAAATGCTACTAAAAATAATGAAAATAGCTATTATTTTAATCCAGTAAATTTTGAAATGATTTGTTATGCAGCCAACAAAATTAATACTCTATATAATAACAACCAGTGGGAAACTGTACTTTCACATCTAATTCTATCTAAAATGTCAAAATCAAGTATAAAGAGGTAATATGCTGAAATAGAATAAGCACTTTGTTCCACTTACCCTCCTCAACACAAAGTAGAGTTATATCTCTGCTGGCTACAAAAATATCTCTTACAAATCTGTAAGGAGAAAGGAAGGAAATTTTTAAATATGTGTGTGCACTTAGATATTTTGTAGCAACGTATGGGTGTTTAGCAAAAGCTACTACAATCATGACTACACATACGTACTGCAACTTTTCAGATTTTTTTAGGTTATAAATATATAAGGACAGGGAGCACAAATCCTCCCCTTTCCAGCAATGGCCATCTAAATTGTATAAGCTTATATGTTTGTTTATGGTTTTAATTTACACGCTTCTTGGGAAACAAGGAATTTCAGTTTTTCTCATCATTCCTTTTCTTTCACACTTCACGATCTGACAGAGTTAAAGAAAAAGAAAAAATATGCTGCCTCTTGGCAAACAGCTGGAACATCTTTGATCACTGCGATGCCATATATGGCATCTGTTCCTCCTGTGCTAGCTATTTCCCATCTATTTTCTTATCAGTCTACCTATACCCTTTATATCAAAATCTCAGTAACACAGAGATGATAGACATACTATCAAAGAACATATTTAAATTAAAAATAAAATTAGAATTCCCTTGCAAAGACTAGAACTCATCTCTAATATTTTATTAGTGCAGACAAAATCGTTAAGAGAAAAGTTCTTGGTTAAATATTAAAGTAAAACCTCTGTCCACACTAACCAAATATATTAGAGTGAAATCTGGACTCTGACTTAAATTAGAAAAATCAATTATCATTCCTCCCCTTACCCAAGTCCAAGCAGGTATATGTGAACTGTAGCACAGTAATGACAAGTTCCACCTTCTAGATTGAATATATATTCAAAGTTCAAAAAAGTAGAATTCCAAAATCAAACTATTTCCAATATCTCCCCAATCAAAATGATTGTTACTCATAATCAACTCCTTTCTACTTCCCATCTGTGTATTTGAAATTTAAAAAATAAGAGAATCAGAGAAACATATAAAATATTGACGTACTAAACATAATTCAAGAGGGTTTCAAGCAAAATAAAGCAAAATTGCTTTTAGTTTGTGGGAACAACTTGCAGATGTATGCACTGACCTAGAGCTAGAAAAACTGCAAAATTTATAGGCACAGATCAATGACTTCATTTCTGACACCAAATACAATTTAGGGAGCTCCCCCAAACCTTCATGTCTGACAGTTTCCCAGAAGGCCTCACAGAATTTGCTAAAAGTTGTTACATACATGGTTACAGTTTATTACAGGGAAAGGAGACAGACTGACGTCAGCCAAGAGAGAAAGCACAGAAAGCATAGTCACAGAAAGGGACTGAACACAGTTTCTGTTATCCCCTCCCACTTGAGTGAGAACATATTATCTTCTGAGCATCAGACTATTCCAACATGCACTGGGGATACTGCCAACCAGGGAGCTCAGTAGAGCACAAACATTTGGCATTTTTATTTGAGCTGCATTATGTAAGGATGATTCATTGATTGGGCATTTGTTTCTTCACTCTTTAGGCCAAATGATATCACACCTCAAGCTTCCACCTTAAGTCACATGGAATGGAATTTTTAGAATGGGGAGCCCTTCCCCCAAGACTGTTGGGCATAACCATTATCTATCCTAGACAAAGACACTTCAGTTAGATATGACATTGATTACTCCAGAGATATTTCTTTGTGAAATCACAAATTCTTTACTGCACGTTTTTGGTATGCACTCCTAAATTTTATTTAGATGGATCAAGGATAGATTTTCTGACCCATCCCTTTTGGAGGTCTTCTGAATAAATAGTATAAATACAAAATAGTTGTGGAAAGCTGTCATCACATCTCTGCAGACATTAATTTCTGAACTCAGCATTTATGACAAAGCCTCATGGTAAACATAACCATGAAAAATCCCTTAAAAAGACAACAATGGGCATATTTTGATTCCTTTTCCCCTTCTTCTCTTTGTATGAACAATTTCTCAGCAAAACTTATTAGCTCATTCTTCAAAAGATACCCTAATTCTAACCTATTTATCATCTCTACTAGTATCACTTCAGTCCACGCCAGATGAAATAACTGTCTCTTAGTTGTTCCACATGCTTTTATTTTTACCTCTATACCACTTATCAGATGTAATACCTTTTAAAAGTGCAAATCTGAACTGCCACTTCCCTGTTCAAAGTCTTCAATAGCTTCCTACTCAAATAGAATAAAATCCAGAATTGTTTTTATAAGCCTACAAGGTCCTGAGCAATCTTGCCTCTAGGTATACCATCCCTATAATAAATATGACAGTGATAAAAGAGATTTGTGGAAGGTGGAGCGCTTAACATTGGAGTTTGAGAAACATAGTTCCTAAGGTGAGTATGTAATTCTCTCCTGTGACAAAAAACAAAGACTATTATCACTACTCTGTAGTCATAGAATAAAGAGATACAAACGATTATACTCTCTTAACAGCTAATAGACATTCTAATACACGGCTGGGTACATTAATCCGTTAGCAATGTCATAACAAAGTTTCTCAAACTAGGTGATTTAAATGATGGAAACTTATAGAATCATAGTTATGGAAAACTGAAGTCTACTATCTAGTTGCTTCTGTGAGCTGTGAGACAATATGTTCTAAGTCTCTCTCCTTGCTTCTTTTTCTTCCCTTGGCAGGCATTTTTTTGGAATTTTCTTTTTTTTTTTTTTTTTTTTTTTTTTTTTTTTTGCTTGTAGACACATCACTAAATCACTGGCTTCATCTTCATGTGACATTGCCTTTTATACTTTTCTCTGCATTTAAATCATTTTTGCAGGAAAATAATGATTACCTCAGTAAGCG